AATGATAAAAAACACTTAATAAACTAAAAGAAAACATTTAATAAACTAAGAATAGCAAAACAGACTTGAATATATATTAAGTGTATAATAAAAAAAGCCCTACAAGCTAATAACATCATACTCAATGGTGAAAAACTGCAAACTTTTCTTATAACATTAGGCACAAGAGAAGAATGCCTACTTTCACCACTTTAATTAAACATAATATGAAGTTTTAACCAGAGTAATTAGGCAAGATACTGAAATAAAAAGCATCCATATAGGAAGGAAGAAGTAAAATTATTTCTATTCATAAGTGATACAATCTTATATGTAGAAACCCCTAAAGATTCCATAAAAATACTTTAGAACTAATAATCAAATTAAGCAAAACTCCAATATACAAAATTGATGCACAAAACATTTGCATTTCTATGTACTAACAATGAACAATCTGAAAAGGAAATTAACAAAACAATTTCACAATTGCATTTATAACATCAAAAGGAATAAAATATCTAATATTAAACTTAACCAAGGAAGCAATAAACTTATGTAAATTATAAAACATTACTGAAAGAAATTAAATACATAAATGAAAAGACATCCTATGTTCATGGGTTGGAAAAGTCAATATTGTTAAGATATCAATACTACCCAAAGCAATCTACTTGCTCAATGTAATCCTTATCAAAATATCAAAAATATTTTTGCAGAAATAGAAAAACCCATCCTAAAATTCATCTGAAATTAATTTCAAGGGACCTGAAATAGTCCAATCTTGGAAAGAAATAACAAAGTTGGAGGGCTCATATTTCCTGATTTCAAAACTTACTACAAAGCTATAGTAATCAAAATAGTGTGGGGCTGGCCTAAAAACAGGCATATAGACCAAAGAAATAAAATACAGAGCCCAAAAATACATTCTCAAATATATAGTAAAATGATTTTTGACCAAGGTGCCTGATCTTTGAATGAGGGAAAGACAGTTTTTTCAGTGAGTATTACTAGCAAAATTGGATATCCACATGCAAAAGAATGAAGTCGGGCCCTTACTTTATGCCATATAAAAAATTAACACAAAATGGATCAGATACCTAAATGGAAGAACTAAAACGGCAAAACTCTTAGGAGAAAAAACAAGCGGAAAAGCTCCATGACATTAACTTTGGTAATGATTTTCTGGATATGACAACAAAAGCAGGGGCAACAAAAGAAAATATAAACAAATTGGACTTTGTCAAAATTAAAAACTTTCATGCATCAAGGATACTATCAACAGAGTTAAAAGGTAGTCTATAGAATGGGAGAAAATACAGGTATGCCTCATTTTATTCTGCCTCACTTTATTGTGCTTTGTAGATGTTGAGGGCTTTTTTTTTTTTTTTACAAATTGAAGATTTGTGACAACCCTGTATCGAGCAAGTCTATTGGCACCGTTTTTCCAACAGCGTGTGCTTACTTCTTGTCTGTGTCACATTTTAGTAATTCTTGCACTATTTCAAATTTTTTCATTATTATTATTATATCTGTTATGATGACCTTTGATGTTTCTATTGTAATGGTTTTGGAGGGCCACAAACAGTGCCCAAGTAAAACAGCCAACTTAATAGATAAATGTTGTGTATGTTCTGACTGCTCCACCTATAGGCTATTCCCTCATCTCTCTTCCTATCCTTAGGTCTCCCTATTCCTTGACACAAAACAATATTGAAATTAGGCCAATTAATAACTCTACAATGACCTCAAAGTGTTCAAGTAAAAGGAAGTTACATATTTCTAACTTTATATCAAAGCTAAAAATGATTAAGCTTAGTGAGGAAGGCATGTTGAAAGCCAAGAAAGGCTAAAAGCTAAGCCTCTTGCACCAAACAGCCAAGTTGTGAATACGAAGAAAAAAAGTCTTGGAGAAAATTAAAAGTTATACTCTAGTGAACACATGAATGATAAGAAAGTGAAATAGCCTTATTGTTAATATGAAAAAAGTTTTAGTGGTCTGGATAGAAGATCAAACCAGCCAGAACATTCCCTTGAGCCAAAGCCTAATCCACAGCAAAGCCCTAACACTCTTCAATTCTTTGAAGGCTGAAAGAGGTTAGGAAGCTGCAGAAGAAAAGTTTAAAGCTAGCAGAAGTTGATTCATGAGGTTTAAGGAAACAAGTAGTCTCTATAACACAAAAATGCAAGGTGAACCAGCAAGTGCTGATGTAGAAGCTGCACTAAGTTATCCAGAAGACCTAGCTAAGATACTTGATGAAGATGGCTACACTAAACAACAGATTTTCAATGCAGACAAAACTGTCTTATATTGGGAGAAGATGCCTTCTAGGACTTGCATAGATAGGGAGGAGAAGTCAGTGCCTGGCTTCAAAACTTCAAAAGACAGCCTGACTCTCTTATTAAGAACTAATGGAGCTTGGCCAATGCTCATTTACCATTTGGAAGATCCTAAGGCACTTTAGAATTATGCTAACTGTACTCTGCCTATGCTCTCTTAATGGAGTAATAAAGCCTGGATGACAGCACATTGGTTTACAGTATGGTTTACTGAATAATTTAAACCCACAGTTGAGACTAATTACTCAGAAAAAATATATATTCCTTTCAGTGCACCTGGTCATCCAAAGCTCTGATGCAGATGGACCAAAAGATTTATGTTGTTTTCCTACCTGATAATACAACATCATTTCTGTAGCCCATGGATCAATGAGTAATTTAGACCCTCAAGTCTTATTATTTAAAAAATATATTTCATAAGGGAATAGAAGCCATAGGTAGTAATTCCTCTGATAGACCTGGAAAGGAACCTTCTGGAAAGGATTTACTGTTCTAGATGCCACTAAGAACATTCGTGATTTATGGGAGGAGCTCAAAATATCAACAGTAACAGGAGTTTGGAAGAAATTGATTCCAAAACTTACGGATGGCTTTGAGCAGATCAAGACTTCATTCAAGAAAGTAACTGCAGATTTATGGAAATAGCAAGAGAACTAGGATTAGAAATGGAGCCTAAGGATGTGACTGGATTGTTGCAGTATCATGATAAAACTTAAATGGGGGTAAAGTTGCTTCTTATGGATGAACAAAAGAAGAGGCTTCTTAAGATGGAATCTGTTCCTGGTGAAGATGCTATGAACATTGTAGAAATGAAAACAAAGAATTTAGAATATTATATAAATTTAGTTGATAAAGCAGTGGCAGAGTTTGAGAGGGTTGACTCCAATTTTGAAAAAAGTTCTACTGTGGGTAAAATGCTATCAAATGGCACTTCATATTACAGAGAAATCTTTAGTGAAAGTAAGACTCATTTGATGTGGCAAACTTCATTGTTGTCTTATTTTAAGAAATTCCCACAGCCGTCCCAACCTTCAGCAACCAACAACCTAATCAATCAGCAGCCATCAATATCAGACCCTCCACTAGCAAAAAGATTACAATTTGCTGAAGGCTTAGATGATCATTAGCATTTTTAGCAATAAAGTATTTCATAAGTTATGTCCATTTTTAGACATAATGCTATTGTACACTTAGTAGACTACAATACAGTGTAAGCATAACTTTTATATGCACTAGAAAAACCAAAAAATTGTGAGACTCAATTTACTATGATAATTGCTTTATTGTGGTGGTCTAGAATCGAAGCCACAATATCTTCGAGGCATGCTTGTATTTGCAAATCATATATGTGATAACATATTAATATTCAGAATATATCAAGGAATCATAAAACTCATCAAAGGGAAAAAACTCCAAAACAGAAAGAGGCAAAGGACTAGAATAGACATTTCTCCAAAGAAGATACACAAATGACTTCTTAGCACATGAAAACAGGCTCAACATCACTTATCATTTGGGAAATTCAAATAAAAACCACAAAAAGAAACCAAAAAGAAACACCATTTCACACCCATTACTACGACTATTATTTTTTAAAAATACAGAAAATTGCAAGTGTTGGTGAGGATGTGGAGAAATTGGAACCCTTATGAATTCCTAGTGGAAATGCAAAATGATGTAACCACAGTGGAAAGGAGCACAGAAATTTCTCAAAAAATTAAACAAAAAATTACTATAAGATTCAGCAGTCCCACTCCTGGGTATATATTAATACTCAAAAAGTGGAAGGCAGGGTCTCAAACAAATATTTGTATTACCATGTTTATAGCAGCATTATTCAAAAGAGCTTAAAGGTGGGGAGAAACCCAAATGTCCATCAATGGATTCATGGATAAACAAAATGTGATATATAATTGAATATTACTCAGCCTTAAATAATTAAATATCATTATGTAATATCTTATAATTTTCGATAACAATTAAATAATATTTTAATACTATGTAATCCAATATTATTCAGCCTTAAAAAGAAATGAAATGCTGACACATGTTCCAACATGCATGAATCTTGAAGATATTATGCTAAGTGAAATAATCCAGACACAAAAGGGCAAATATTGTATGATTCCACATATATGGGGTTCCTAGAACAGTCAAATTGATGGGGACAGATAATAAAATGGTGTTTCCAGAGGCTAGAAGAAGAGAGGAATAGGGAGTTATTTTTCAATGGGTACAGAGTTTCAATTTGAAAAGATAAAAAGTTCTGGAAATGGATGATGGCGATGATATCAAAATAATATGAATGTACTTAATGTCATTGAACTATATACTTAAAATGCTTCAAATGAGAAATTTTATGTGATGTATTATTTACCATTATGTTATATATGTTATATATTTTTTACCATTATAAAGAATTAATGTGGGAAACTGTGTATATGTAGAGGGGCAGTATATGGGAACACTGTACCATGTGCTTGATTTTAATGTAAATCTGTAACTGTTCTAAAAATAAGGTCCATTAATACAAAAAAGAATAGTTTATAAAGTCTTTAAAAATCTCGTATAATTCCAATGCTCCAGGGACAGGCTTATTATTTTTAAAAACTGAATGATAGAATCACTGAATACCAGATTCTGCTCAAAGCACTTCTTTTTTCATATTTTGGATTTCTTAGTACCTGTGAGACTCTTGGGGTGTGCCATTCCCTCCATAGTCATATTCCAATCCCTTTAATTCCTTTATCTGTCAGCTGTGAGTCCCTCATGCAGAAATCAAATTTCATTCCTCTTGGTATGATCACTCTGAGAAAACAGTAGACACATCCTAATATGAATGAATGGACAAAATATATAAATGTAAAATAGAAATGAATTGTTATTTGAAAAGACAGAAGCACAAGCTTTATAAACAGACACTCAAGTTCTGGGAAACCCATAACATAACCCTGGATTGCCTACATAATTGCCCAAATTACATGAATAGTTTTTATTAAAATATTATTTCTGATACTGTACATAAACAATGTACTGAAGCTGGTAAAGTTGTCCTCTCAGGGGTATGGGTTAACAATTCTGAATTCTATATATGTATACTGAGATTGAGCAAATAAGTACATTGATAGTGGATGGTGGGATTTTTCACTGCTGGGGTGAAAGGTTACAGAAAAGTAAGTAGATAGTTTAGAATGATCCATGTGGTAATGCATTAGGGTCGGAGAAATCAATATGAAAGCATGTTTAGCTTAATATATAATACTTATGGATAGATATGGAAATTATTGTAGAGATGTGTGTATAGAAGGGTCAATATATGTACATAAATTTCCTAGCTGTTTGTTGAGAAGATATAAGAGCAATGACATCCCAGTGCAATAAGTATAGCCAGTGCTCAGGTCTTGGTTTCTGACACTATTCTCCAAAATAAGGAACAAGAGATTTTTATGGAGAAATGGCTGATTCTGGGACTGGGATACAAAATATCCAAGATGAGCCTGGAGCATCTTGTAGTGACAGAAAGTAAAATAGTAGGTAAAACACACACACAAAGGTAGGGATATGCCTAAGGGACTCAGGAAAAAACTGAAAGAGCTCCCAATGACCAAAGCCAGAATAATTTGTGTAAAAAATAAACATAATATTGGATTATAACCCAAATCATAAAATACATATCCTTGAGTCCATATTGCCACAAAAATTATTAAATAAGTAAATAAATACTGAAAAAGAAATTTTCTGTAAAAAATAATTCCAAATAATTTACATAGATACTTCTCCAAAAGGTGTAGCATAAGTTCCCACCCATTAAATGTTGACTAGGTTTAGTAAATTGCTTCTAAAGAGTAACATTATCTCAGGGATGCCTATGATTCTTAGAAGATAAATATAAAGAAAAAAAATAGAAAGGAAAAAATATAATAAAAAAAGAAAGAAAAAAGAGTAACATTTTGGAAAGTGGAGCTTGGATGAAAGTAACTTTATAATGTAGGAACTTGGCAAACACTTCCTCAATCAGATGATCAAAATTAAACATAATCAGTCATGTCATGTTGTATTTTCTCTTGGTATGACATGAGGAGAAAGAAATTTTGCCTCTGTAGTCTTCCTTTCAAAAACCCATAAACCCACTCTAACTATGAGACAAGTATTAGACAAATATGAATTGAGGGACATTCTACAAAGTGCGTGACTAGTTCTTCTCAAAACCAGTAAGGTCATCAGAAACAAGTAAGCCAACATCTGCACACCAAACCTGAACGGGGTGACTGTCTGCTAAAATATAAAAGTTAAATAGGATCCAATGTCTTGTAACATAATATTCAAAATGTCCATGATATAAGAAAAATCACTCATCATATCAAAAATCAGAAAATCACAACTTGAAGGAGCAAAAAAATCAACAGATGCCAATATCAAGATGACTCAGATGTTGGAATTGCCTGACAAGCGTTTTAAAGTAACCATCATTAAAAGCAACAAGCAATTATAAACACTCTTGAAACAACTAATAAATAGAAAAAAGTAAGCAAAGAAATAGAAGCTATAAAAATGAATAAAATGAAAATTACAAAATTGAATAAGCAAAATAACCAAAATAAAAATCTCACTGGATGTGTTCAATAACAGAATAGAGATGACAGGACAGAATCAGTAAACTTGAAGACAGATAAATAGAATTGACGTGATGGCGACAACAAATACAAAATAGATTGGACAAAAATGAACAGAACCATGAGAGCTCTGACAATAACAAAAGATCTAACATTCATTTTATCAGAGTCCTAGAAAGAGAGTGCAGCAGCAAATATAGTCAATGAAATAAGGGCTGAAAATTTCTAAAATTTGTCAAAAAGTATAAACTTTCAGCATTTCTGGGATTCTACGTTCTATTTTTCCACCTCTCTGTGAATCTGTAATTATTTCAAATTAAAGCTAAAAAATAAAGTGACACGATCATTTCACATTACCTTCTGTTTATGAGCACTTCAGAGATATAAAGTTATAAAAATGTAGCTATAATTTATGTTCTTGTTATGTTTAAGGAAATACTATGTGCCAGGCATTGTGCTTGACTATCATTAACACAACGAATCATCAAAACAATCATATGACATAGGCACTAGTAATTATCTCCATTGTATAGATAAGGAAACTGCTGACAAGTGGGATTTATTAGTTTGTTCTAGGTTACATAATATACAACCTGGAAAAAAGTTCATGTTTAAAAAGGCAAAAAAAAGTTAAATCTATGATTATGTGAGAAACAATGGGCCATAATAGCAAAGCCTACATTAGAGAATATTTAAGAGAAAATGAAATTTAATTAATTTCTAATTTATAATATTTTTACATTGTTAAGACATGTAAAAAGCTTCAGCCTAGCTGTTACAAGTTTTAAGTCAATGACAACGGAAGATAAGTTACTATCTATTCCTCTGCTAGCACCAGGGCTTTTCATAAGCATAGAGACATTTTAATATGAAGCAAATCAGCAACATCATTCAGCTTCACTGAAGGCAGCACAGTGTGGTGAAAAGAGCATAAGCAATGAGATGAGATTTGAGTTCTCCTTTCAGTAGTTGAATGATACTGGCAAGTTACAATGTCAACATCTCCGATTTTTCATCTGAAAAATGGAGATAACCATCCCTAACCAAACTTACTCTAGTTAGGATGTGATGCTGAGACAGTCTACAAACACCACGTTAACTTACAGTAAGAATATGCGAATTTAATGCTCGAACATGAAACGGGAATGTCTTGGGTTGGCTAATATGGGTCTTGGCAAGGAAAAACTTTTCAATTCCTCTAAGCTATGAAATAAAAAGTACCTCATCATAGTGGGAAAAAGAATTCATCACAAGTCACTCACTATTCCTTATCCACAGGACTCCTGACAAACTCTAAGTGATATTTCGGATGACAAAGATTATTGTCTAAATATCATTTCTACTTTTACTGGTATATTCTACAATAAAGCATGCACGTAGGCCGGGCGCGGTGGCTCACACCTGTAATGCTAGCACTCTGGGAGGCCAAGGAGGGAGAATAGCTCAAGGTCAGGAGTTCGAAACCAACCTGAGCAAGAGTGAGACCCCATCTCTACCAAAAATAGAAAGAAATTAATTGGCCAACTAAAAACATATGGAAAAAATTAGCCGGGTATGGTGGCACACGCCTGTAGTCCCAGCTACTCGGGAGGCTGAGGCAGGAGGATTGCTGGAGCCCAGGAGTTTGAGGTTGCTGTGAGCTAGGCTGATGCCATTGCACTCTAGCCCGGGCAACAGAGTGAGATTCTGTCTCAAAAAAAAAGCATGCACATACATGCACAGATGTAAGCATGCACACACATACAAAATATCACTTTTTGTTACCTCCTTTCATCCAGAAAACTTATGGAGAAATATTAAATGATAAACCACTCATTGCTATTGGTTCCACCCATTGAGAATCTGGGAGCTTCCTCTCACTCTGAATCATCCAGTCTCGTGTTCGTGTGTGCGCTCCCACGTGCACCTGGAAGTATATTAAGCGGGAAACAGAAAATTTAATAGAAATGTCCAGTTACCTTTTACCATATCCATTAAGTTGCCTTTGAAATTTTCATTTCAGCACTAATCTTACCAAATAAGACTGATTGGAAAGCTTTTTTCTCACGGTCAAATGATACACTAGATTAGGATACAGAGCTTTTTGTATAAGATTTCAATTAACAGATTCTCTATTTTACTGAGATAGTGAACTACAACTAGATAGTTAATATCTATTTCTATATCTATTTCGTCTTCCAAATACACCTACACTAGTATTGACATGAAAGTGGCTAGGTCGGTATGAGAATAGTAATACTCCGTTTATATGCACCATTTATCGCATAGATGAACATATTTGTATCTATATACATCTGACTTCCAAATCTGTCCCCGAGCCCAAGGTGCCATTATAAGTCATCATTGACAAGGGTATGTATTCCACAGGTACTTGAGACGTGAGTGCCTTCAAGGCTGAACTTACCCAAAACCTCCTACATGGCCCGTTTCCAGGACTCTCCTCTTGCCATCCACTTAAGTTTTTGTTTTCCCTGGTGCCTGTCAGACCAAAGCTAAGCAGACCAGGACCCTCCCTCTACATTGCCACTTGCCTTTCCCTACCCTAGGGTACCTTTGTTTTACCACACAGGAAGACCGACTTTGACTTCAAGGTGAGTGCATGCGCCCTCAACTCCCCGCCTCCTACAAAGCCGCTTATGGCATCGGTCCCTTGTATGCCTCCGCCAGGATGGCCTCTTTTCACTGGCCATGGACATGTATCCTTACACGTGGAAGATGGTTTCATAAAACACACGATGGCCCATTCCTTTCGGCCAGAGTGTGTGCACACACCCACGTCCCCCGAGCTCCCTGTTGATAGCAGGTCAAAGATGAGACTTAAACTAGGGCAAGTGGGCCTTCACGATGATTCAACCTCTTCTCTCCTCCTCCTCCCCCTATTTGCACGCACAAGCCCAGGGAGAGAAGTTTTACTGAGGCTAGGATCCTTTATGACTAATGCCCGCCCCCTCTCACGCACTGTGATCCCACTTCACGCTCCATCCCACGTGCAAGTGCGTGCAAACACGCACACAAACACAGTGGGGGTGTATGGGGGTGTGAGAGCTTGGGATGGGAGTAAGTGGGTTATCCATTGGCTGCATGACCTGGAGAGTTTTTATTGTCTTAAAACACACTGAGAATGAATCAACAAATGAATCATTAGTGTGGTCTTTTTTTAAAAAGGCAGAGATTGTTTCATTTTGAGCATTCTTTTCTCTTTTACTTTAAAAAACTGTATTGTTTGGCAAAGAATTTGAAGAGAACACATTTCAGAGATATGTTCTGTGTAAGGTTGCTCTTTATATTTCTTTATAAAAGAATTTCTGCTTTATAGCCTGCTTCATGTTGCACATATTTGTGAGGAAACTGAAGTCAAATTCGTTATATACCTATGGGTGAACAAATGGCTTATGATAAGTGTTTTCCTTTTTATTAGCCAAACTTGTTAAGAACTTGCCACTTAGCCCTTTTCAATACTTACAGATATCTTGGAGCTTTTGCTATTACAATGAAAAGTATGTGTTTTCATTTTTGTGTAAATTAGAAACAAATGAAGGGAACAATTATTAGTAATTTAATAAAAATTTACCGCACCCCTACTATATTTTACAGTTTTGAGTATTTTACAGTTAAAAACTTATTAATAAAAATAATGAAATAGATACACATGTATAGTATTTATGTGCCATGCATAGTTCTAAGCACGTTATATAAACTAGTTAATTCTTCATGATAATTTGATGAGGTAGATGTATAACTATTACCATGTTTTTACAGAAATGAAAACTGAGATACATAAGGTAATTTGCACCAGGCCACCCAACTAGTAAGTCACAGACTTGAGATTTGAATCTAGGCAGCATGACTTCAAAGACCAACCACTTTGCCATATGATGTATAATACTGAATATTGTAATTTGTGCCATAAATTATTATGTATCCACAAATGAAACTGCATTAGATTTATGTATTTAAGTGTATTTCCTAGGAACCCCAAAATTCTAACAAAGCCCAACAGCCACCTCAAGGACCCCTCCAGGACCATATGAATATGTCTTTTTCAAAGACAAATATAAAGAGAATTAAGGTAAAATTCTGCGCTTTGTCACACTTGTGTCCTAAACCCTAGTACAGGGATGTCTGGTATGTGGACTAGAGCTGGTGGTTTACCCTCAAGGCCTAAAGGGCCCTTAGATTAGTCTAAAACCAAATCAAATGAACCTCCATGCCACCTTAAGCTATAGAAGACATGAAAGCCTCAAATTGCATCCCTAAGAGGTAAAAGGGAAAGAAAAATACAAAGCAGTCCCACACATCAGGAAGCTGGCCTGGCATTCCCATTGAGGACATGCTATTCTCTTATAGGACATAAATCATTTAATAGAATACAAACCTCAGACAGGTTAGTCTGGGACTATAATAAAATGAGACAAAGCAAGCCCACTTATTTTGTATAACTACAGATAAAAACAAGGTCACTGTGCTACCCACAAAATACCAAGCACCCTCCCACCTCAATCTAACCTAAAATTACTAGCTATAAATTCTTTACCAATTACAGCTTACTTCCTGTTCTAGTCTCTCCTCCCTATGGATAAGATTTATTGAACTACCAATCATAAAGTTGTCTCCACTTTCTGTCAACATCCAATGTAGAGTAAACCCCCAATTCCTTAGAGACTCCACCAAATCACACAACCAAAGCCCAAATCCTGCAGTGTATTTTTTCTAACACCCACTTACTAATACGTCCCCTGGTTCCCCGTTGCATGTTCTCTCTCACTGCAATGAGAAATAACCCTAATTTGTTGCACTACAGGTATGTTCTGGCCTTTGGCTGAAGATCATTGCTATAAGAGCTACAGCAAAAAAAGATTTGCCTGCCCTCACGTCAGAGCAAGCCCAGAAACACCTTCTATCCCATGGAGGCAAGAGAAGGGGACAGGAGGTGCTGCAAAATGTCTGGGCCTCCTCTGTGAAATAGCACAAGAGGTACACCTGCATTACCTTTTTAATGCACAATAACAGTAGACACAAATTGAAAGGGGCCCGATCTTTGTGTGTAGGAGGGGTTTGGGGAGAGTCAGGAATTTCACACAGGTCAAGATTAATGGTGGTGAAAAGTGTGAAAAAGTCTATATTTACCAGGGATACATTGGGAGTATCTCCTGATTTTGGTTTCCTTATAATAATAAGTTGTTTCCCCTGTATCTTGTCAATTATTGCAACCCCAGAGAAAAGCAAATGAACATCTATCATCATTCCTGGGAGAAAGATTTGACATTAGAGGAAGGTCCTGTCCAGGCAGGAAAAGGAAAGAAAAACCCATACTTACCTTTCTGGTTAACTTTAGAGAGATGAGACAGAAATATCAGGCAGGCAGGCAGCATTATACACTTACTTCTCTAGGCCAAAATCTGAAGGAGGAGGCATGTTTGATAGTGGAAGGATAAGTCGGGAGCAGAAGAGCTTTTGTTCCACTTTTGGTTTATAATTCTTTGAGATCACATCACAGCCACCTAGGATGGAAGAGTGGCCAGGCAGCAATAACAAAAGAGAGTTAGCATTTCCTAGCCACTCTCAGCTCCCATGTGGCATGGAAAGAGCCAAAAAATTCCCTCTCATCCTAGGGGGATGGGTATGATCTTCATGGAGTTTGCCATAAAGAGAAGCCAAATCTCTTGAGTTTCTACAGGTGAGGAAGGTAAAGTCAGCTCTGGGACAAGGTCTGATTAACTACATCCCATTGTTCCCATTAAGTGCATACCCCTCACTCCATATCATAAAGTAATGGAAGCCCCTGTATATCCAGATGATATTTTGGAAGGGTAGGTAAGAAATATGAGATACAGATTAACACACAGGAGCCTGTTATTTATAAAAAGTGCTTAAATTATTAAATAGCAATGAGGTTCCTGGATTGATTCGAATTGAGGTTTTTGTTTCCCTGCAACCCAGTGGAGGTAAACTCAAAATTAAGATCAGATCACAGTTATAAACACTAAAATAAGATGCACTTTCTTTGTATGTCTTTGTATAGTGTTAGTAAATTTGCATGCATGTATAAACACACAGAAACATAATTATAGAAAAGAAAACATTAACAGTGCTTATCTTTGGGGAGGTGGGTACATGGATTTTTCTTTTGATTGATGCTTTTTTTTTTAGTATTTTCCAAACGTACTCCAATGAGCATATTACTTTAATATTCAGAAAAACACATCAGTTTTTAAACATAAAACACTCTGAAATTTTTATTCATTTTATTTTGCAGTGAAGGAACATGAAATATCATTCCAAAATGATAAAGTTATCACTTTCAATGAATGAGTCAATATACTACAGGAAAAGAGAATTATGCACTGTAATCATGGTTTATATAATCACATAGAACAATATATGCAAGCTTTTGAATATACTGTGATTAAAAGTTTGCTGATGAACAATAATATCAATATGACTAAGTTTCATTATTTATCACAGTCACATAAAGTACAAGAACCTATGAACGAGCTGTTATTAACAATAAATATAGTTTTGTCTGGAATTCTTAACCATATGCAGGACTTTTTTTTTAAAGCATTTGAGTTTTAAATTCTGCTGCATTTCTACTGCAAAATGAAGCAGGCACAACAAAATTAAACCCACTAGCCAAAGGACCAAGAAAACAAAAATAGAAAAAAAACAAAACAAAACAGCAAAACCCTTGGGGTGCTTCCCAGGATTTTTTTTCTAAACAAATATTGATCTCATTTAGTATTTCTGATAATATTCACAGTCACAGATTAATAGCTACATGACAAAGGACTTCAGAAGGATTAAACTACACAGCACTATATTAATGTCTTAAATCATTTACCACAGTATACATTTCTTGAAAATATTCTATTACTAAAATGCAAGGTCAAATTAATATTTTAACTTTTTTCTTATATTTCTGAAGCATGTTTTAACTGACATTACAAGAAAAATACAGAACAGACAACTTCTTATATCTTGAGTAACTGGATCTAGGCAGTTAATTTCAGGGCCATGCATGCTCTGCCTTAGCGATCAATGTCTTCTACTAATGCCTCAAGATTTTTGCAACAGGCTTTAACCTCCTCAATTGCAGCCATCCAGTTATCATAAATAATTTTGTCATAAATTGCATCATTAACTTCCCTAACTACCCCCTCCTGCTGAGATTCAACTGCATCGCCTGAGAAAAATAATACTGATCTTGGGATTATGTAAGTACGTAAATTGTGACCAAGTAAAAAATCATCATTTCTATCCCCTCCATTTGAGCTGATTCCATGAGGAGAGAAAAAATTGAAGAATGAATCCTTGGGAAAGTCTTCGGTCACAGTTCGGATGGTTCCCCAGATCCGATGTTTCTGCTGCTTTTTGATGGTTTTCAAAGTGACATTCTTTCCTTCATTCCAGTCTATCTCGCAGCCTGTGGAATACTCAATCGCAGTTCCCCTATAGGGATGGGGATCATAATAAGCTAGCCTTGACTTCAGCACATAGGTCTTTGTCAACAGCTCATTTTTGAAATATTCATTGGGTTTGAAGTGAAATTCTAATGTGAAACTGAGAGGCTCATCAGGATCTGAAAGCTTCACTTTAATATCTGTTAGGAGCTTCAGAATAGGCTCATCATATTTCTTAATCAAAGGAGTGAGTGTGTCAACGTTTTTTAAGACAGTCAGCCAAAAATCAGGAATTCCCTTAGGATCCTCTTCTTCCTTTTTCTCTTCCCCAGTAGCCTCAATGTCGTCGTCGTCGTCGTCGTCGTCATCATCATCATCCTCAATAGCATAATCATAATAATAGTCCTCATAACCATCATCCTCATCCACATACTCATGCACCATACCCTCCTCAGTACCATACATCTCTTCCTCATCATACATTTCCTCATCGTCATAGTCCTCAAAGTCTGATTTATATTCACATTCCTCTTCTGTGGGTTCATAGATTGCATTGATGATCTGCCGTCTCTTTTCCAGTAAGGGCTGACACATTTCAGCAAACTTTCTTTCAATGTCATGAAATTCCCTCAGGAATTTGGACTCTAAGTTGGCCGCTCTAGTTTGAAGCTTTTTAAGGGCCAACACGCGGTACTTAACTTTCACAGGTAGACTTTCAACAAAATCTGTGTCTAACAGATAACCGATAAGTCCTTTTGGACGGTCTGGGTCTGAGTCCTCCTCATTCTCGCCACCTTTTCCCTCGTCTTTCCCGGACTCGGCGGCAGCATCTTCACCTTTCTCCCCTTCTTCCCCGAGCCCGGCGGCGGCGTCTTCCCCGCCCTTCCCATCGTCTGCAGGCCCCGCAGCGGCGTCTTCACCGCGCCCCCGATTTTCCCCCGGCCCCTCCATCGCTGTGTTATTCCCAGCCTCCTCTGGACAGGATTCGGACAGTTCCTTGTGGTTGGCTGACTCGGCCATTTTTCAAAGCCCCTTACACGCCCAAGGTGGCTACCACCAAGATCAGGAGACCTGACCTCCGCAGGAAAAGACTCACCGAAATGTCCGGAGCGGCGGGGCCGGGCCGGGGCGGGCCGAGCAGTGGGGCCGGACTGCGGGAGCTGCTGCGGGCTCAAAGGCAGCCCTGAGGCTCTGGGATCTGGGCTGACCGAGCGGCGGCCTGGGCTGGGTGCAGAGGGTGGCGATGGCTGTCTTGACCTGCCCTGCAGGGAGCGGGCCAGAGACTGCAGACAGCCGCAGTGGGCAGACCTCCTCCGCAAGCAGCTGCTGCTGCAAGGAAAAAAAAAAAAAAAAACAAACCCAGTGCTGCAATCTGATTACGCAGCTGTCTCTTGGCTGAATTTTCTTGGTGCAAATAGCTTGCTGCGTCACCCCTTTCCCCGCCCACAACTCTGCTCTAATCTCATTCGCTGGGCTGTAAGTGATTGACAAATTCCGAACCAATAAATTATTAGATCTATCACGTTTCCAACTCTGCTCACCTTCCCAGGTTCTCTAATATGGCTGATTCATCCACCTCCCTCTCATCCTCCACCGCACTCCCCCCTACCAACCCTGGCGCGGAGTTTTCTAGAAACCCAGGATGTTTATTAGTTTATTCATTCAACTTTTATCTGATATTATACTTTTATCATTTCAAAAGAGCTAAGAGAAAATGTAACTAAAATGTCGGACAACAGAAGAGAGCAAGGCATCCCACTCATCCTAAATCAATCTCTGATTTTAGCCCAGAGATGTGGGGAGGGGAGAGGTGGGTGGCGGAGAAACTTACAGAGAGATGCTAGAAAGTGTAAAAACACCAAAAGTTAGTATTGGTGGTCTTGGGTGGTGATTTAAATATTCTATTTTTTTTATTTTAGCGTATTATGGGGATACAAGTGTTAAAATTAAGATTACATATATTGCCCATCCCCCCTCCCCCTCGAGTAAGAGCTTCAAGCGTGTCCATCCCCCAAACGTTGCACATCTTATTCGTTGTGGTTGTAGATACCCATCCCCTCCTCCCCCTCCCACCCTCCTGACACCCGATAAATGTTATTCCTATATGTCCACTTAGGTGTTGATCCGTTAATACCAATTTGCTGGTGAGTACATGTAGTGCTTGTTTTTCCATTCTTGAGATACTTCACTTAGAATGGGTTCCAGCTGTATCCAGGAATATACAAGAGGTGCTATATCATCTGTTTTCCTGTTTTTTCACAAGCTATATGATTTTAGATTGGAAAATTCTCATAACATTTCCTGTGGGAGGAGGAGTGAGGAGGTGAGATGGGGGGTGGGCAATGAAAGCCTGTACTGAAAAGTCAGTACAGTGTACCCAACTGCATGACATCAGACAATAAAACAGTTGCCTAGTTTGTGAATAATACTGACTTTCCACTTCCTTCTTTTTGAGGCTGTCTCTAAAAGCCATTGGGAACTTTTAAAATAAAAGCCAAAATATACAGTAATATTTCTTTTAAAAAATCATAGCATTTGTTTGGCACTTTGGAGTTAATGGGAAATACTCTAAATTTCAGCACTAAAAAAATGGTTAAATAGATGATAGAGTATTCATAGGATAGAATATTGTGCAGTAATTAAAATTTCATCTAGGTGGTAATGATGGTGATACTTATTTTGTCCCTATCTCCAATGCTGATCATTAATAAATTGAACAATTTTTAAAATTTTAATTGACTATTATGTTCCAGATTTAAAGAATAGTTTCTATTGCTTTACTATCAAAGAGATAAACACTGTTGACATACCATATTTACTTTCAGATTCTGTAAGTTTGGAGGTAAGTTTTTCCTCTTATTGTATTTCTGTGTACTGCACATTATTACAGTATTTACAAAACTAAGTTTTCATGTTCGTGTCTCAGTCTGGTAGTTCCATAGTTTGAGTCCCATCCACTCCAGGTTTTTCTTTTCTAGTTCGGTAGTTGTAACATTCCCCATAGTTTTCTGATAATAAATACCATATCTGCTCATTTTAGAAAATTTGGAAAATGAGGGGATTTGGGGGATAATATAGAAATCACTAGTAATTTCACAACCTTTAGAGCACATTGGGTCCTTTTCTTTGTAACATGTTTATATATATGTTTGTGTTTAGATTGGTTGCTTTAAAAAATAAAACTGAGATAAACTCTTTTATAAACTTTCCCTTTTATTGGCATATCCTAATGTCTTTAAATACTCTACAAGAATGTGACTTTAAAACAAAATGTATTGGTATTCAAATATATTATGTAGTTAAACAAAACTATAAAGGACAAAGAGAAAGTATCTTCATCTACTTTTAAGACTGAAGAATCCTCAGAATCATACGTGCAGTCACAGAAATCACAAGGAGAATGATGTGTTTCATTACATAAAACAAAAAAGATATGACAAAAAAATTAAAATATAGATAAATTAGACTTCTTCAAAATTAAAAACTTTTGTGCCTCAAAGGACACTATCAACAAAATTAAAAGCTAACTGTTGGGAGAGAGTGGGAAAAAATATTTGCAAATCAAATATCTGATAGGAAATTAATATCTAAAATATATAAAGGACTCCTACAAATGAATAACCAAACAAACAAACAAACCAATTCAAAAATGAGCAAAGGACTTACATAGAGATTCCTCCACAGCAGAGAAACAAGTGACCAATAAGTATATGAAAAGATGATCAACATCACTAAATAAGGAAATGCAAATCAAAACCACAATGACATAATACTTCACATCCATTAGGATAGCTATTATTTAAAAACATACACACAGAGAAAATAACAAGTATCAGTGAGGGTATGGAAAACTGGAACCCTTGTGCATTGCTGAGGAATGTAAAATGGTGTTGCTACAACAGAAAGCAGTATATGGCAGCTCCTCAAAACATTAAACCTAGAACTGACATATGATCCAGCAATTCCACTTCTGGGTATATACCCAAAAATTTGAAAACTGGGTCTCAAACAGATATGTTTCAACTGATGTTCATAGCAGCATTATTCACAATAGGCAAAAGTTGGAAATAGCACATATGTCCATCATGGGATGAATGGATGAATAAAGTGTGATATAAATATACATAATTTTTTTCAGCCTTTAAAATTTTGCCAGGCACAGTGGCTCATGCCTCTACTCCTATCACTCTGGGAGGCCAAGGCAGAGGTAGGAGGATTGCTTCAGCTCAGGACTTTGAGACCAGGCAGAGCAAAAGGGACACCCTATTTCTATTAAAAATAGAACAATTAGCCAGATGGGGTGGCTCACATCTGTAATCCCAGCTACTCAGGAGGCTGAGGCAGGAGGATCTCTTGAGCCTAGAAGTTTGAGGTTGCAGTGAGCTATGATGACAGCACTACACTCTAGCCTGGGTGACAGAGCAAGACTCTGTCTAAATAAATAAATGGAATGAAATTTTGACACATGCTACAATATGGATGAACCTTGAAAACATTATTTGAAGTAAAATAAGCCAGACACACAAAAAACAATTCTTGTATGATTCTACTTATATGAGGTATCTATACCAGTCAAATTTATAGACAGAAAGTCTAGAAATGTGGTTTCCAGGGGCTGAGGCAGAGGCAGAAAGGAAGTTATTGTTTGATGAGTAAGAAGTTTCAGTTCAATAAAATCAAGCAATTTGGGAGATATATGGTGCTAATGGTTCACAATAATGTAACTATACTTAATACCCCTGAACTGCACACTTAAAAATAGTTAAAACAGTAAATATGATGTTATGTCCATTTTACCATGATAAAAATGTTGAAAGAAACCCCAAAACATATTCAACATACTAAAAGTCATAGCCAGAGCAATTAGAAAGAAAGAAATGGCATCCAAAATGGAAAGAAAAATGTCAATTTATCCTTGTTCACAGAAGACATGATCCTACATTTAGAAAAATCTAAAGACTTCACCAAAATCTGTACAACTCATTAAAAAAATCAGTAAAGTTGCAGGACACAAAATCCAAAAATCAGTAGCATTTCTTTCTATACACCAATAGCAAACAATCTACAAAAGAAATCAAAAAAACAATCCCATTTGCAATAGCAAAAAAAATAAAATAAAATATCTATAAATAAATTTAACAAAAGAACTGAAAAATGTCTATAATGAAAACTTTAAAACACTGATGAAAGAAATTGAAGAGGACACAAAAAAATGGAAAGATAACCCACACTTATGGTTTAGAGGAATAAACATTGTTAAAATGTCCATAGCACCCAAGGCGATCTACAGATTCAATGCAATATCTATCAAAATACTAATGACATTCTTCACAGAAATAGAAAAACTATCCTAAAATTCATATGGAACCACAAATGACTGAAAATAGCCAAAGCAATCCTGAGCAGAAAGAACAAAGCTAGAGGCATCACACTACCTGACTTCAAAATATGCTACAAAGCTATAGTAACCCAAACAGCATGATAACGGGTATAAAAATAGACACATAGACTAATGGAACAGAATAGAGAACTCAGGAATAAATCCATGCATTTATAGCCAACTCATTTTCAACAAGGGAACCAAGAACATATATTGGGGAAAGGACAAACTCTTCAATAAATGGTGCTGGGAAAACTGGATGGCATATGAGAAAGAATAAAACGACCCCTATTTCCCACTGTATACAAAAATCAAATAAAAATAGATTAAAGACTTAACTATAAGACCTGAAACTATGAAGTCGCTAAAAGAAAACATTAGGGAAATGCTTTGGGACACTGCTCTGGGAAAAGATTTTTTGAGTAAGACCTCAAAAATCACACGCAACAAAAGGAAAAATAGACAAATGGGATTAGATCAAGCTCAAACCTTCTACACAGCAAAGAAAACAATCAACAGAGTGAAGAGAGAACCTACAGGATGAAAAAAATTCACAAACTATCCATCTGACAAGGGATTAATAACCAGAATGTATAAGGAATTCAAACAACTTCCTAGCAAAAGATCAAATAATTTGATATAGAAATGCACAAATAATCTGAATAGACATTTAAGAAAAGAAGACAGACAAATTGCCATCAGGTATAGGAAAAAATGTTCAACAATCACTAGTCATTAGGGAAGTGCAAATAAAAATCCAGATGAGTTATCATCTCACCCCAGTTAAAATGGCTATTATAAAAAAAAAAATAGCAAATGTTGGTGAGGATGTGGAGAAAACGAAACACTAGTACACTGTTGGTGGTAATGGAAATTAGTACAGCCATTATAGAAAACAGTATGAAGGTTACTCAAAAAACTAAAAATAGACCATACAATCTAGCAATTCCATTGCTGGGTATATATCCAAAGGAAAGGAAGTCAGTATATCAAAGAGTTATCTGCATTTTCATGTTTTTTGCAGCACTATT